CAATATACCTAGTGAAAAGTTGTTATGACAGATCCTACACTACTGATATTCAACAAACTAATGCCTGTATATGTGTGTGAGAGAGAACCCTACCTCCCATTTCATCTGGATAGAGAGGGATATGTGGGTCACATAGTTTCATTTTGTATTTGGCATGTGTGCAGGTCTATTCAGGAAGCCTTGCTGGCTTTTGGGGCTTTGTTGTCCCATATATTTTCTTAACTTTTTTAGGTGTTTACAGTATTTTAACAGCTGTACTCCTTGACTAGAAGTAAGAAAGAATTCAGCAGCCATTTAAGATCAGAATGCCTCATAAACTTACTGTAATTAATGTAGGTAAATATTTTTTTGGTGAAGGGAAGGGTTGGGGGAGTAGTTATTCCTTAAGCAGAGTGTACTTGTCACACCAATGATTAAAGTACTCCAGATCTGTTGTTCTGAAGGATTTTCTGTCACAGCCCTTAGTCTCCCTCATTTCTTCAAGAAATTATTCAGTCTAGTAAAAAAATGATAAAAAGGAAAGACTACGACTCTGCAAACAGAACTTGCAGAGATACAGCAGTATTCAAAGTCTTTATGGATCTAGAAATCTGAGGAAATTTTTGCACTGCAAACCTGTTTCTCGTGCTACAATAATACACCCAGTTGCTGCAACCTGCTAGCATTATCTCCAGCATTTACTGGCCAAAGGTTTTGTTAATATCATTAAATACTAATATTTTATTTTGTGGATACTCTGGTTACCCAAATTTTTAATGCACTTTTTAAAAGTGGTGAAAGTACTTTTATTTACAACTCCTATGTAAAAGTTTTGGGAGTAGCTTCTATTTCCCTGAGAAAGTCAGAAAGTGTTGACAAATAGCAGCCCATCACAGTGGTAACCTTGCTGAGCATTTTTGGTACTCTATTGCAGTCATTCTCAGATGGATAGATACTTCCTTTTCTGTATGTTTTAAGGTTTACCTGTTCAGATGTGTTGGAAGACAATCACTGCTTGGTCAAGATGGCTGTGTGATCTCCAGGCTATATTAGTGGGAAACTGTGGCTGTTGTCTCCTTTACTCTCTCCTCCCTTCCCCACATACAAACGTACCATTTTGCATATGATTTCATATGATGAGGCAGAAGGAGGAGGAAGGGGCTGCCTAGGGCCTGACTGGGCAGGGTAAAGTGCTACTTTATCATCTCTATAATGGGGCAGGAGAGACAGTCAGTGTAGCCTGGATGTTTTTGGTTAGGGTAAGGAAGAAGTGATAAAAACGTAAGAAAAAAGTCCATAAATCACAGATGTGGTGGACAATGGTACTATTGAAAGAATGTGAGTGAAATTTGCTAATGAATGAACTGGATGAGAACCATGTTCAATTTGACTTGTATTGACTGGTATTGGTTGACTGGTATTACTTACTTTGCCTTGAATATAAACAAAGAAAGAAACAAACAAACAAAAAAATAAAAGAGGATAAACATTCTTTCATGTATTATTCATCCTGTCTAGACCTCTGCTCCCACCAAGAATTATCCAAACCCCATTAGTTACCTTTCATGCTAAAGAAATATCCCCAAACCTATTTTGCCATGATATGAGCTTCTGAAAGCTACCTCTCTCAAAAATATTTCTCAGCTATTGAGCCAGTCTGATTTTTCATAGGACAGTGAATAGACTGGACTAATACTTGCAAGCTGGGATGTGACCTCACTCTTAGATTTATTTCTATGTTTGCTTTATCCTTGCTTTGTTGATTGACACTTTTCTGTTTGTCATTATTTTTGGTGGGCCATATTGTTTCTTTATCACCAGTGTGTGTCATATCTCCCATTTTCATGCAATGAATGTACATCTAACATAATGACTGGATTATGCTATATCACAGTGGGCATCATCCCACAATCTGGTATGATACTACCTGGTGTTCTGATAGAATTTCATACAGTCTTGGTACTTTTGTTTATGCCAATATTTTTAACTATCTCGGTAGGAGCATATGAGTTAGAGCAGCTCTAATTCCTTGCTGGATCTCTCTAGGCAAAGTCTCCACTCTAGGCTAAATCCCCTCTTTAGGCCAAGTCTCATCAAATTATATTTAAAAACTGAAAAGTTTAAATTGTGACTGTGGCCCACAACTGCAATGAGGGGGCATAATATCATCATGAGTTGCTATTCTGACTTGCCCTATCTTCATTCATTCTTGAAATTCTTTCCCTTCCCTCCTCCCAAGCTGTTTTGCTGAATTATACTACGTCATTGAATAACTTGTCTTGATTCAGGAATTCAGTCTGGATCTGGATGAAACCAGCTTTGGATGTAATTCAGTCTACTGAGAATGAATTTGAGCATCTTAGTGCCCTTGAAAACTCTCAGATCTTTGTTGGATTTCTGTTTTCCAAAAATTTAAATAATTGGCATTATTTTTTTTCCAAGTTAAAAAGAACAAATACCAGGTTTATACTTCCACTGATACATCTGACAGCCCATGTATTATAATCTTATAGTCAAAGCAGAATGAGTGTGTGAACATTTTTTATTTTTTCATCCAAAGCACATGTGAAACTTTGTAACCTGAACAAATGTTATCACCTAGAGTGATTCTCCAAAATAATGGTAGATTTTGGTGTGTATATTGCACAAAAATATGGGATTGAGGTACAGAAAACTAGGCAATTGATTTCAGGCTTGATTTCTGAGTCAATCACTGCATGTGGTAAAGTTTTAAAATAATAAAAAATATAAAGAATTAAAATTTACTTGCTAAAGTATTGAACCAGATATGCTTCAGATATTTTGCTTTTTATTCATGCTTCCTTTTCTGAAAGGAAATTGATGCAATTTCCTATCTTATTTTCTGTATGAAAATCAAAATATGCTGAATATGTTCATTGGTGATTAACATATGTATAGTGCCTGCCTTTGCTGTTCATTTTTATAACTTGTATCTTTTACCTTTTAGGAATATTTTTTTTGTTCCCCATAATTTTTAGAAATGATGAGTTTGGACCTAAAAGTGTGGGTGGGGGGAAGTTAAAATATATATATATATATATATATATATATATTGGTGGTTCTCTGTTTCATCATAGTAAAAGATGATCAAATGAATAAAGAGGCATCGCACATTTCTTTATCAGTTCTAGGTAGGATTTTTATATGAATTGGTATGAGCTGGGCTGCTTAGTTAATAATCTGACAGCAGAAAAGGAGCATAAGAAAGAACAGCTAAATATGTGTGCCAGTTTGCTTAAGCAACTGACTATTCTAATAAGTACTGTGAATATTGAAATTGCTCATGTACAATTTCCCATTGACTTTTCTCCTAGGTTTGTGAGTCTTTAATATAAATACCCTACCATTGTCTTGTTTAAAGTATTAAAAATTGTGCCATAACAAAAGTAAAATTTATGCTGAGGTCTGTCTTTACTGGAATTGAAAGAAAAAACAGAGCAAACCCAGGCCTGGTTTTTTTCTCTCTCTCTCTTTTTTTTTTTTTTTAGAAGCAACCTGTTTGTAGGCAAGCTTAGGGAGGCTGTTTGTAATATCCTAAAGCCAACTAACTTATTATAATAAAAGGCTGTTCATTTTGTCTTGTCATTGACATTGTTTTACTTCAGAACATAGGAAGTAATTAAGAAGGAAAATGTCTTTTGTCTTCAGAGGAAATGGGATGATGGCCATAAAAAGACAAGAGTGGATTGCGGTTTGGTAGAAGTTCTGATAGGATATGGATTTTCAATACGCACAGTTCTCCTTGTCAGCAAAAACAGGTCATTACACTTTTCTGTGACATTCTTAAATAATTTAATGGCAGTCCTGATATACTATGCTATTTAAGCGATACCAATTTTGAAATTGAAGTCTCAGTTCTAATGGAGACTGTGGCAATCTATTTTTATTTCCAAAATGGGCTTTTTGACTTCTTACTGTGTTGCAATGTCATTTACCCCTATAGGTATACATTACATAAAGAAGCAATAGGGGATTATTAAAAAATAAAATGAAACTATCAAAAAAAATATTTGCTATAATTAGGACATCCATTATTACATTTTTCCCCCAACAGGGTATGCATATTTTTGAAAGCTTTTTTTCCTGTGATTTTTCACACAAAATATTTCAAGTATAAGACAAAACAACTACACTTTTCAAAAGAACATGAAATGGTCATGCTGTGCTTTTGTGTTTGCTTGGCCATTGATGACACTTGAAAGAATACTACACATGCCAGAGCATTCCAATAAACTGCTTCATTATACAATGGAATTTCCCGGTGGCTTCCTTATAAAGCACATCTTTTCATGATCTTTAAAAATTCCAGAAAGCTTTTATTTCTGAAACTAATTCACAGACATATTTTGCAGTTTGTTAGTTTCATGTTAAGAGTTCTAGCCTTCTTTGTGGCTTTCAGTTATTTAATTATGAAAGTAATATCTGTCCAGGGAATCTGAAATACATCTGAAATTAGAAAGATGCAAAAATTGTCCACATTCACTATTTCAGATTCATCATTTTCTTACTGAAAATCATGTAATTAAAAGGTTGCTGCTGTTGGAATCCGAAATGTTTCTGTCACCCTGTCTTCCATGAATACAGTTCAGGAGCTGACAGGAGATAAGATAAAAGTCAATAAAAAGAGAATTATTTATTAAAAAGATCTAATGTTACAAGAACAGTACACAGGAACTATTATATTACTGTGTCTTCCACATAGTATATACCATTATATATAGTATATATACAGATTGTATACAATATATCTAACATTTTGATATGGGCCATGACAGAATCTTTCTTTTGGTCTGCAAAACAAAGTTTCTTTCAAATTATTTTCTTCCAAACAAGTACTGTGGTATTATACAAAAATACAGCCTCCTAAGTGACTCTAGACTGCACTATTACAATCTTTTACATAAAAAAGGAAAGAGTTCTTCAATGAAACTAAAAAATAATATGTCATGATAAGGAAACATCCTCTTCTACAAAGTAACAAATATGTAATACATAGGTACTTAAACATTTAAAACTTGTTTATTAATATATTTAGATGCAAAATACATATTCTGTTCATGTTGAATATAAAACATACCCCTTTTTGTCCCTGCATTACAACTACGTTACATGATGTTATGTTCATCATTTCTATCTGTATCTTTATACTAGAGATTGAGATATAATTATATGCAGCTCTATCTCCTTATCAGACTTTCATTCTTCTTTGTTCATTCTTAAAAAAGCATAGTCATTTATTGTATTCAGAAAGTTGTTTAGCCAAACTTCCAACAGTACCCTTTTTGAATACTTTGAAATAAACTGCATTGGCAAGTATAAAAAAATAGAGGAAATTATGCTTAGCTAGTTTATAAAATAGCCATTTTACTTTTTGGTTCATCACTTTATTCTTGTTCACTTTAACCTTTTGAAAAATGATGGTTTATAGCAATGCTGTTGTTTTGCAAAATAAAACAGGCAGTTATTTCTTTGAATTTGTTCTATCAGCAAAGTATATTTCCCCTTCCTTTCTTTTATCTCAGAAGCTTTTTCACAAGCAGAGATACAGACAGGTCTCCTGTTTGTAACTACACAACAGTCAGGGTTCAGCTCATTATCCTGTCATTGTTTTGCTAGCAACATGGTGACTAAGTACATTTAAAACCTACTTTTTTCATATGTATATATATTTTCTTTTAATCTTAATGATGGAATCATAGAATCATAGAATGATAGAATCAGAATATTCTGAGTTGGAATGTATTCACAAGGATCGTAAAGTCCAACTCATGTCTCCACACTGGACCACACCAAAATTAGACCATATGTCTGCAAACATTGTCGAAATGCTTCTTGAACTCCAGCAGGTTTGCTGCTGTGACTACTTCCCCAGGTAGCCTGTTCCACCAAGTGAAGAACCTTTTCCTAATATTCAATCCGAACCTCTCCTGAATAAAATAATAAAGGTTTGAGTTGATTCATCTCTGAAAAATTCAACTGGTAAAATATTCAAAACAAATTAAGTCATCAGTCAGCTTTTTACCTACCAAGCATTGTGCTTTCTTGCCTACTATTTTAAAAGTGCTAAGAAAGGACACCATTAGAGCATACTATCCAAATACAAAGTATTATTCGCTAGTGAGCTGGCAAAATAATATCATTAATTAAGTGAACACATGAACCAAAACAGATTTGCATCAAAACTTTTAGAAGGATGGACAACTAGAAGAACTATGCCATTAGGACTTGTCTCTTGAACTCTTTTTACTTGATTTTTCCCAGACAAGGAGTGTTTATCCTAGGCACAATACCTAGACACATGGTAGTAAAACACCATCCTTCATAACACCACACACTCCATAACTGTACAAACACACACAGCATATACAATGGAGATCATTTTGATTCAGGTGCCAATATATGGAAACATCTTCAAATTTAGAAAAGTTGTCCAGATTGTATATTGAGTGAAAATTTGTTTGGTACAGCAAAAAGCAGGGATTACAACTGATAGCGTACAGTCCCTATAAGAATAAATCTATCTAGTGAGCTATAGAAATAGATCCAGGTAACTAAATAATTGGAATGATGCTCATTATCCAACCATTTTTCAGACACACTATTCTCCAAAACCTATCCTACAGAAGTCTGTATGTGTGAATGACTACGTTTCAAAAATTGTTAATGTTCCTTCTGTTATATACTCTCATATATGCTTTAACTGGCTTTCCAATTATACGAAGTATAGAATCTTACTTAAAAATGGACCCAGTGGAAAAAAAAAGATTACAACTGAGAAGTGCTTGGAAAAAGTAGGTTTATCTTCTTGCATACCTTCTCTATATCATGTTTAAATGCCCAGTGGAAATTTCATTGTCATATGCATTAGGAATAGACTTTTTATTTCCTATTGAAAGTAAATATTTGAATCATTTGACATTAAATCATGTAACATTTAATGAAAAACAATGGTATTTATTTCCTTTAAATTTTGTGTTTAATTATGATCAGGTTACCTAGAAATAAAATATATGTCTTCTTTTCTCCTCCATTTTGTCACTTTTAAAGTGTGCTGTCTAGTATTTTATTGATGATTTTCTTTTTCTAATTTATTATATATTATATATTTTAAGAATAATTTCTCTGTACTCTTGCAATGGGATAAATATTTTAATTATATTTTTTTCTGTCTTGCTGTCTTGTCAATAGGAACAGCCAGCTGCATGGGATGCAAGAAATCTTAGACAAAGCTATGTCAAACTTTGTTCTCTAGTTAAAAAAGTTTATTTATTTATTTTTTAACCAAACAGATGTACTGTACTAGACACCACTGTTTAAACACCTAATGATACATGTCTGGGGTTACCAAAATTGAACATATTAAAAAAGTAAAGTACATTTGACAGAAATTACATTTGCTTACAAAAGTTTATTACATACAATCTGCATATTTTTGGGCCAAGAAGAGTCCCCTCCCCAGAGGATTTTTACAAAAACTGAAGAGAAAAAAAAAAACCTGATGAATTTTTGACTCTCTTCAACATTCTTCTAAGTGCACCACAGGTATTTCTATGGGTCTTTAAGCATTAGCTTGGCTTTCCTGTTAATCCATGGACATAAAACTCCATTCCTTGGTGTCATCAAGCTAAAGCAAACAAATAACAACAATGAAGTCTTCAGTCTTCACCATGAAGTTGAAGGAACCATCAGTGCCAAAAGCAATGTTACAGAGGACGAGGAAGTAGAGAACACATGTAAGGTGGTTTGAGCACTCGTTACTTTCCCTCCTGAAATAAAAAGTGAAATAACTAAAGAAGAAACAATGCAAACAATTCTGAGAACATTTAGGTACTAAATTTTGGCTAAAAATGTTATCCTTTAATGCTCAGCAAAAGCCTAATTTTGGGAAGGCATTAGCTTGAGAGAACTGCAATCCCAGGTTAGGATCCCTACACAGACATAAAGATATTGGGGATTTTATGATGATATCTACAGAAACTCACATTCTGAATCCTCATATTCAGTCTGTAAAAAAATAGGAAATTCCAAAAGGATAGGTAAGTTTTATGCTTTAATCCTCATGAAGTATTAGGCTGCAGAAAGTGCATAATCATAAATGTTCTTTCTGGAAGAAAGAGTGAAATCTAATCCTTTATCTTGATGTTTGTCCAGGTCTTTTGCCCTATAGTCTAGTGGCGTTTTATATCATAGCACAGTGCCTTAGTTAGAGTAGAAATTTTAGGTGTAGATTGAAGTTTCAAGCCTATACCTTTTGTACAGTACTCCATATGGACAAGCAATGTTTAGTACATTTTTAAGGTGTTATTAAAAAATTAGAATTTATATACCTTGTTTTCTTTGGCAACAGATAATATAATTATTTTTATCTTTCCCACTAATCCTTAGATCTCTTTCTTAACTGTGTAACATTGTTACTTGAAATTCTTTTAACATATTGCTTTAACTGAGGAAATAGAAGCTAGGCGTCATCAGTTACTGCGTGATTAAATTAATACTGTAATAGTCTTATCTAATCAAGTCAGCGGAACCTAAGAAAAACACAGCTTATTCTAACATGGGCACACACACAGGATTCAGCTACCTAAATGCAGATACCTGATGCTGTTTTAGGTGTATTAGATGTTACACCTCCAGCTGGTGGTCCAGAGTGATGTGTGTGTCCTTTAAGTTCTAGATCATACCAGTTCTGGGTTTCCTGTAAATCCTGAATCCTGTGATTTTTTCATTAGCCCCATACAGATGCATCAGATACTCTTGAGAATCTCAAATGGCATTAGATATCTATGTTACAACATAGGAACTAAATGTTTCAGTTAATGATTTTGTCTAATAAAGAAATGTGAGAACTATTTTTTTTTTATTTTATTTTATTTCAGATAGAGAGTAATAGAGTTAATAATTTTTGCACATTGCTGTAATTGCCACTCTTCCACATGTAAGTGTAGCCTTACCTACAAAAGATGGAACTCTGATCTGGGGACTAGTGGTCCCGTCACCTCCTTCACTGACCGCACAGACCTCAATAATGTAGACACCAACATCAGGAAGAAGTACCACTGCAGAAGTTTTCTGTGTTTCTATAATTTGACTGTTGCTCTGTCCTTCTTGCCTAAATAATACCTATGGTCAAAAAAGTAGATGGTGGTCATAGTGACCATGCAAGATACGTTCCAGACATTTTGTGTAGATAACACAGCCACTGAAACAGTTGTTTCATACTTTCATTAAGGACTTCTGTATGTGACAATTTCTGGATGTGACATTTGAACAGTCACCCGCTTTTACATCTCCCTTCCCTATTCCCCTCCTCCCCCCCTCCCAAAACAGTAGCAGCAAAGTATATTGGCAATTAATGAATGTGAAAAGACATTGAATAGGATCCAAGCAATGATATAGGATTTGCCCTCTCCATCATTAGGTGTTACACTTTTTTATTTTATTTTATTTTATTTTATTTTATTTTATTTTATTTTATTTTATTTTATTTTATTTTATTTTATTTTATTTTATTTATTTTATTATTATTATTATTATTATTATTTTCCAAGTGACAAACATTCTTTGAAAAGCATGTTGGGTCCATGTTTCATTATGTTTGAATCCAGCTTCAAACATAATGAAAATGCCTTAAATAAAGTCCTTAACTGTGTTTACTTTAGCTGGCTAAATAACAGTGAATAGCTCAGATATAACCCTGCATCTGCTGTACATGCTTATGCCAAGTGGAAGGAATACAAGCATGTACATTGCTGTCTGTTTGGTATTCCTGCATAAGAGTTTCTGTTCCCAGACAAAATTGAAAAGGTCTGAGAGGTGTAAAAAACCAAAGTAGTCACTCCATGTTTTTTCAGAATCTCAATGATCCTGATGAAGTTTAAAGCAGTTTCTGGCTTATTTTGAATCAATTTTCATGTCCTTGGTGATATTTTCTGTTGTATCAGAGAGATCATAGTCTAGAGAGAAACGATCTTATATACGCTTCAAGATACCCATATAAACCTCACTAAGAATACATAAAACATTATTTTGATTTAAAAGATTTAGGTGAATTCCACTGCTTTTTATGATTTTTTTTTTAAGAGTTAATCTGGATTTTGCTTTTTAGAACTTCAAAACTTTAAATGCTAGATATTACCATCATCGATTGTTGAAAATCACCAACATAATTAAAACAAACAAACAAACCTAAGTATATGTGTTTTTCTGCTCCATGAAAATATTAATTTTAAAGTCACTGTAAGATGTGTCATTATTCATCATTTCTTTAAATCTTACTGTAAACACAGTCAAATTGAAGTGTTAGTAGGAATTTCATTGCAGGCTGGCCTTATTAATAGCCACTTCTCAGCCTTATATGATGAACTGATCCCCTCAGATTGAGCTAAACTCAGTCTATAATAACTAGCTGAAAGTCACAACACAAAAAATATTTGCACATTTCATTTTTATTTATTGCATTTTATAGTGAAATCTTATTGCAGATAAGATTATATTACAGCATACTTAACAAAGGAAAACAACAAAGAGAAAAAAAGCAAAGAGGAAAGAGGAGTAGTTGTTTAGAAGAGAGTAAGGTGTGTGAAGGGAAGTCACTGACCTTGTATCCCATTACATCAGATTCATTAGCTAGAGGTCTAACTGGCTCCCACCCAAGAGAAACTTGAGAGCCATCCTGTATCCACATAATATTACTTGGTGCTTGACTGGGAGCTGGGAAAAAAAATAAAAATAACAGCATGTACATAAATATATTTGTAGATACTTCCTTTAAAATCACCTTTAAAATCAAAAGTATGTAAATCTTTTAATAAATTTACAACTACGTGTGTTAGCAGGCTTCCAACTCTAAGTAGAAATTTTTTTTTTTCCCCACCAGAATTATCCTTTAATAGATTTTGGTTGTGGTGAGTTGATGCTCCTTTAATAGATTGTGGTGAGTTGATGCAACCCAACATATAGACTTTACAGAATTTATGAACTTGAATGGTTTTATCTCAATTTTATTTGTCAAAAAGGTGTTACTTTCTGGGAAAATAATCTTTATTATGAATGCAAAATAATAAGAATTCACATGTATGCATCAAAGCAAAGCCATGAATCAAAACTATATGTAATTCCTAATTACTGTATGATCTTATTAAAGGGACATCAAAGAGGGCAGAATTTGCTTCTTGACTTCTCATTTTGAGCAAAGTTACTGAGATCACTTACGTGATTTCTTGGTTGTTACACGCACAGTTGTGCTAGGTGGTCCATACCCAGCAGCATTGTATGCCCTCACAGTTAGGTGATATAATGTATTTCCTTCTAACCCTGTCAGGAGGACAGATGATTCATTTCCCTCAGTTTTGACCTTTTCTGCTGCTTCTTCCTGCTCCATGTCCTTCCAGTAACCAACCTGCAAATGAGTGATAAAAGGAAGGATTAATATAGGTGTTTTGGAAGCTCTACCTTTACAAGCTATCCTGTGGTAGGTTTCTTTGCCAGTCTTGCCTGTTGTGTGATCATCAGACCCTGATAAAACACATGGGAACTGTAGTCTAACCTCAGATCCAAAAAATACTCAATCCTGCAAAATAGTGAGAATCGGAATATCATAGTATTACCTAAAGAATATCTAATTGCTGTGTACTGGCATGAAAAGATGTGACTTGTAAGACCAATAAATAGGGGATGAGTTCTGGCAGGAAGTCAAAAGTATTTCAGAGAATTCAAGGTGAGCTCAGCCACTTGTAGGTGACCAGAAATATCTACCTTCACCTGGAAAGATCTGACCACATCAGTTAAAAAGTGGCATGAGTAATATTCACTTTCTGGCCCTGTACTGCTCAGAGACATAATGTTTCTTATCAGTGCAATGAATAGGAAATGACAGAATAACTGCTGAGATGTTGCGTTGATCTGAAAAATCTTGTCTGAGGAAAAAGAAGGAAGTGAATTCTGTTTTAGTTCTTGGATATAAACAAGTTTCCTGTGAAAGTAATTTTGATAGTATTTGTCTGCCCTTTCTTTTCAGACATAGCAAACCTAAATAATATTTGGTGTTTCTTAGTCCATATTTCTTGTATCTGTGCTGAATTTATCATAAAATATATTACATGAAAAGAGGTTATAGTGCTGAGCTAAGAATTTGACTAGTTTCTTTCTGCAGACAACAGATGTTTTCAGGTCATAACTGGGGAAAAAAAAAAAAAAGGCAAGAAAAAAAAAAGCAGTACTCTCTCTCACTAATGTTTCTAGGTGACCTACTCAAGAAAAGTAATTCTCATATCGCACTACTCTCCCTAACGGAAGATGTCACTAATATCCCATTGAAACAGCTGCATTCAGCTTACTGTTTTTCATTATGAGATCTACTTGCATTTATTCCACATTTTGACCTTTTCGATGAAGTTGGTTACTTCGTAATAAGTTATTCATGTTATATCTGGGTAACTTTTCCTCTGAGAAAAAGGTCATGGACAATACAGGACTCTTGAGAAAGTATACCAAAAAAAATGGTGAACTCAAAACACGAAGGGATTCATAGGAAAATAAGACCAATGAGTACAATGTTGGCCTTTTATAGGTCTGTCATTAAAAATATATATATATGTAGAAAGATCTGGCTGCAAATTTGTACATTTGAATTCATATCTTCATTTGAGTAAAGTAGCTCTGTTACCTTTGATGGAGGGTGTATCTGAGCCAACTAAAAATCCTTTAACTCCTTTAGTTGTCAATGTCATGTACCTTTTGTATTAATTCTTAGCTGAGTTACAGATCAGATAGCAATTTTAGCTGTATTTACAAGTTCTTTAAATATGATTCACTGAAGTATTTCACTATCTGAATGCTTGACTAATACTGTTGGTATCTGTAGTAACATCTTTCTTGGAGGGAAAAAAGAATAAACAATCATTCATTCACATGGTAGGCATGAACCTCTAACTGCTAGGCAGTTGGATTAATCAATTTTACTTTTAATACGTATTTACAAACTTGACACTGCAGGTTGAGAGTGACATAGCATTAATCAGTATATGAATGGATAGTGAGAGGGAGTATGTCCTGGAGACCCTAACATCCAGTTAATCAGTTCTGCTGAGGATCCAACAGAGAAATGGTCAGAAAGGAAAAGTGACTTGCCCAAGTTTACACAGGTGGACAGTGGCAGGTGTGGAAATGTAACTGAAGTAGTGAAATCCTTATTCTAAGAAAGCCAAAATTAGAAGCATCTCAGTAGCTCTTGTGGTAACTTATTCACAGGGCCTCATATCCCAAGTGAATGTAATGTACAAGACAGTAGAGAGCCCCCAGGTTTTGCATTGAAGCTTTTGTTGTTGTTGTTGTTAAAACATGATTTCCAAATATTGACGCTCTCTAGCACTGCTTATATGGCATTAAAACTAATTGTGTTTTGATATGTTAAGTCTGCAAAAATAGCTACTTCAGAAGCACTACATGACAAAAGCATTGCCCCTTGGCAAAGGGGTTTTCTTTGGAGAATGATTATATTGTATTAATGAGCAAAAGCATGAAATGCAATTTGGCAATGCTTCTATTTCAGTTTCTTCCTTACTTCAAAGCCTTAAATGTTTGGTCCCTGCTTTTAAAATTCTCCTTAAAGTTTTGCCAGGTGAGTTTGGACTTTGATCACAAAATATGCTTCTCTCTTTAACTCTTCATGTATGCATCCATTTGTTGATGGCTAAAAGAACTAAAGGAAAAAGTGATTACAAACAAAACAAAACAAAACAAAACCTTAATGATAGTTGACTAAGGCTGGCTAAGGCAAGGCAGTTTATGTTGATTTATACAGAGGTGAAGATACTGCTGATCTTTAAAAGTGATGCATGTTTCATAAAACAGAAGGTTTGTTTATTTATACCTATATGTGCATTAAAACAAACAAAAAAACCTTGTTATTTTCTGCAGCCTGAATTTGTACCTGTGAAAGGTGATTTACCACTCTTAGAATAAATTTCCATTAATGCTACATTTGAATATTGATATAACATAAAGCATAAATCACAAAAGATTAGACTGTTTAAAATAAATAAAGAAAAAAAGGGGAAAAAGAAAACATTTGGTCTGTTTAATACATTATTGTTTGTAAGGTTTTAAAATTTTGCTGTACTTTATGTTGTTTAGCATGTATAAAAAGATTAGAAAATGTTTATGTCTGGTTCCCAGAAACCCAGCTCTTCATGCTGGAGAGAAAACAATAATGATTAAACAACTGACTAGAGAAGATGCAGGAACACAGAGTCTTCTGCTTTGTCCTGATAATTGATTAAACAATCCTTAAAAGTAAATTAACGTATTAAAAATACTTTTATCTTCCAATTTTTGAACCTGTAATACTTGCAGACAACTTCCTTAAAGTTTTAGGTTTAAAGGTATCTAAAATAATATTACATTTTTTCCCCAATTGGTTTCTAAGGTAAGCATAATACCATTTTGTTGTAAATTCATTTAACCTAACTGCAGGCCATCTTCTCTAAATTTAGCAAGGAGTTACTGTCTAGATACTTCTTCTGTTGACCAGAGAATTTAAGCTCCAAATTAGGCATTTCAAATAACAACCTGAAGTAGGTAAGATGAATAGGAGTGTTTGTTGCAGGCTGGACAAGACACACAAACTTTTTTGGTCTCTCTGACTATCAACTCCAACAGTACCGCTGTAACTGAAAATGAACTTGAAGAAATCTCAGAATACAGAAAGTGCTAAGGGAGAAGGAAATAAAAGTGAACTGAAAGAACTGCTGATAGCCCTGGGGAAAAAAATGAAAAAAAAAAAAAAGAAAAAAAGAAGAAAAAAAGCCACATTGCATAAAACCTTTTTATTATCATTAGCAGCAAACCTATTAGCTCCTTCAACTTGCACACTGTGCAATGTAAATGTTAGCACCAGCACAAAAACAATGGTAGAACCAAGCACTTAGGACAGAAGTAATGCTTTTGTATCATCTATTGCTGTTTTTTTTGTATCACTTCAAAATATTGATGTGATTGTCCTTCAGAACAAGATGATGAGTTCCTGCAAAAAGTTCAGTCAATCTCAGTTGCTTCCCTCTCACCTAAATGTTTGCTGACTGAAAAGGAGAAAGAAAACACTGTTCATTACTCCTAGGTTCTAGGGTCTTCTCTGGAGTAGCTGGCATCCTTCTTTTCTTTTTTTTCAGGTATTCTCTTCTCCCACATGTTCCTGCATATACATAGGATGAAGACCAATATCGTACCTCAACCTCAAGGGGTATTATCAAATATCTAGTCATATTTGCCTATGAAAACAGCAATACTTTTTAGGTTTCTGATGTTTGGTAATAGAAAACAAGCAGTCTTGTAGAAAAGTATTTTCTACAGACATTAATAAAGAACATGTCTCTGTTGAGACCCTCATGAGAAATCTGGAGTATGATCCATACATTAAGGACTGCTGTTACAAATGTTTATAGTCTTCAGGATTTTAGTTTGGTTTGAATCTGCATATGAGTAACTTTGAATGCTAAATTGACTAATGTTTAAAAGTATTTGTTTGTTTATTGCATGTTTGGGAAAATTCATTCATTCAGAAAGCAAAGTCTGATAAATCAATATTCAGTCTGACGAAACTCTAATTCCTCTTTTTTTCTGTCTTGCTTTACTAGCCTCTGGTAGAATCACTGATGTATCCTTTCTAAATAACCTTGAGAAATACTTCAGTAAATTTAGAAAAAGATTTCAGTGCCACGTACATGCAATTTTCTGTTCCATTGTAAAAACAGACAAATAACACCTAAGGAACAACAACAACAACAACAAAACAAACAAACAAACAATCAAAAACAAAATAAAACAAAAAAAAATCCTGGATATTTCTCTTTGAAAAGAAAATATGATGTAAACATGTTATATGAAATAATCCTCTTGGAAAATGATGTTCAAGATTTTCTTTCTTTCTATTTCTTTTTTTCTTTTATTTTCTTTATACATTTTGGTTTCAAGTTTATCTATTGATTATTTTAGTCAAGCTCCTACCTCTCAGGGGAATTCCAAAGGTAAAGACGTGAGCTTTGTGATCTATACTTAAGTATTAGCTGGAAAAGAACGAAGAAAATAAAAAATATCTGTTCTTCCAGCTAGTAATTCTTTCCCTTTTCTTTCCCTACCCACAGTGAGTGACAAAGAAAATATTGCCTAAGGCTTAAATAGATTTTATAACCTTCAGGTTATGGATTCTAAACAATAAGTATTAACTACACACTATATTTTTCTACCATTCTGACAAAGTTTTCAAGCTACTTCTACTTTATCCAAGTGTAGCTGGCACATACATGTATTTAGTAAGGTCAGGTGGACAGCTGACAAATCTGTACCAAAGTCAGGAATAATATGTGCTTTGGAAGATGCAAATGAGTACAGCAAACCTTGCATAAAACTCATGTGACATAACAGTTAACACTGCCTTTCAGGGATGACAATGTGCAATTGGACAAGTTACTTTGCCTTTCATTACTCCTTAGTACAAAGTACAAAGAGGGCTGGAGTGAAACTGGGTCACTGTGAACTTGTCTGTATGTAGTAAATATTCTGTCACTTTTGTTGCTTAGAGCCCAAGCATTCAAATGCTAGGAAACACTCCCCCCCCTTCCATAATACTGTTGCTAAAGGCCAGGAGATTTGATGAGCGGGTAGGTGGTTGTCACAGATGTGGTGACCACCGGCAGAATACAAATTGAAACAGGAAAATAGAATGGCAAATCAGATTGTTTTGCATAAGGCTCAGCAACATTTGAATTGAACATTTTACCTGTGGTCCACAACAATTCTACACTGGAAGATAATTGTTAAGAAAAGAGAATTAATTCTTTTTGTTTTTTTTTTTCCAAAGTCACTGGAGTTTTGTACATTCATTGCTTGCTATTTATGGATTAATGGAACACTACAGACTGTGTTCTACACTGTACTACATATGACAAAAATTTCAAAATCAGCTTTTAGATTAAATTAGTGTTTATAGAAGCAAAAAAAAAAAAAAAAGATTTTTTTTTTTTTTTTAGGGTTTAGCTACAGTGTCCCACTGTACAGGATCCCAGTGTCCCACTGTACAGGATGAATTTTGCACTGAGGGAATGGTTTAAAGAGATGCTGTGAGTCTAGCAAAATTAGACTTATAGTGTGGACTTAGAATTCCTAAGTGGCTAGTCTAATGTACTGACTAACTGATCCTTTCAGTTATTATATCCTTTTTGAGGCTATCCTTCCCCAAAACAGAACAGAACTGAACAATCAAGCACTATCATCCTAGGATTTCATTCTGTCTTGCTGTATCATACAGGGGAGTAACATTTATTCTTCTGTTTATTGAGTAAGGGTTGCTCTGATCATATATTTTTTTTTTTTCTTTCTGGGTATGAGGACAAAAAAGAGCAAACACTACTCCCTTAAATATTCCTCTGTCAGAAAGCGAGCAAGGAAATTCTGGCTAAACGAACAAAGAGGGAAAATTTTTAAAAAATCCTGCAAATAAAAGCAACAGCCTCTGAAGAAGACTCTAATTCCCTCATGGAGATAAGTAGAAAGGAGCAGCAACATATTTTTAGTTTCATTTTTGTGTTCTGTCCACTGCAGATCCTTTCCTTGAAATATTTACTCTGTAATATTCATGTTAGATTCTTAAAATTGGTGTACAGTACAGTGAGGAGCCAAATTATTAATAAAGTTCAATGTTAATGACTGCTATATCAATAATAATTTCCAAATTAATTCCTAAGAAGTCCATGAGAGAAGCAGCAATTGAGTGGTACAGTTGGCATCAGAGTATGCTGTGGTCTGCAGGTCTAAGTGCTTTCCAGGACAGGAAGACCACTTCTGGTATGAAGAGTCCACGGTTTGTCACAGACATCTAATATTAGGATGCATCTGTAAAGCTAAGAGAACTGCTTTGTGGCACGTAGGAAAAAACAAAATACATTCAAGTTATGAAAGAATAAATTTCTAGAGAAATCATTTTCACTTGAAAAAGAAAATCTGTGTTTTTATTTTAAAATGATGTAAGACAAAGCTAATAGAACATTTTGAGAATCGATGTGATTGATGGAATGAGAATAAGAGTGAAATTGTAGGTGCAATTTAAAAGACATCAAGATGTGTGAGAGGGAGTAACAAAAAAAAAAAAAAAAAACACAAACAAACATATCTTTTTGAAGAGAAAAAGACAGTACAGTGAATAAGTTATTTCAGAGGATAAAAGACTGGCCTGGAAATTGAAGACTGAGGTTAGTAGCAAGTGGAACACTTTAGTGTGGAGAGGGACAACATTTCCAAGGTGGATATCATCTCTATTGGATATAATTTTGTTCTCTTTTTTATATAACAGTCTTAAAGGTAAATTGTTAGGTATCAGTTTTGCTGCTTGAAGTGAGCCATGTGCAAAGGGGTAAAAATATGTTTAACGTAAGGGAACAGTCAGGCTAAAGTACAATGAGAGAGAACTGACAGAGAGGTTGCAGAGTTCAGCATGGAGATGTGTATGAGAAGGAGACTCAGAGAAGTGAGAGACCCAGATGAGTGAGTGGGTTCTGTGGTGACGACCTGCACAGACTGCACTAGGGAGCAATACAGGAGTAGCTAAGTACCAAGAAGCTACAGCGAATCAGGTAGAAGAAAAAGTAAACTAACTGTGTCTAAAATGTGGGGTAAATATGCCGTCCTGGACATAGCTGTCCAGCCAAAGGCTGTGCTGGAGAGTGTGGTGGCTCTGGTGGAGCACCTGCTTTTCCTCCCAAAGGCCATTGGTGATGGCTGCCAGACCCCAGCACTTGCCTGGACATGCTGCTGAGGAGACATTGTGTGCTAGTAGGTCACAGGACACAAATGTTAAAACTGAAGTCTGAACAGAGCAGACTGCAGAGGAGGCTGTGGGTGAGCATGGGCTTTGCTGCCAGGAGTCTGTTTTTATTAGTGCAGATCTCAGGTGGATGAGGCTGGCACTATAACACTGCGCCAAAGAAGTTTTATGAGAACTAAATATAATAGTCCTGGGGCGATCTAGTCCTGGGGTGATCTAAGCATTTGGATCATGGCTTACAGGAAGAGGACTCAAAGAGTCATGGTAGAAGATGCAAGAGATAAGTCCTTATTACTAAAGAAAACTCAAGGGCATGCCTTATTTTAAAATATTCTATTTGAATTGCTTGAATTTGAATTCATGCCTAATCTGGATCAAGGAAATCAAATTAAGAAGGTACTTGGCTAATCTGTTGAAATGAGGGCCATGTTAAAGCATAAAAGCCTCAGAAGCCTTAAGTTATTCTTCTACAGAACCTTTGAACAGGGAACATCATTAACTTTTGAACATAAGTCAGAGATGAATCTTAGTCAATAATGGATCTATCTTGCTTTTACCAATCATTAATAACAAGAGCACATGAAGGGTGTAAAAAATTATAGCTCAGAGTTTTTCTTGATAATAATTTTTAAGGGCTTTCTGGAGGTAAATATAATTTTCTTCAACTTAAAAAAAAAAAATAAATCTTTACAGGAGTTGAGTTTCGGGTGCTATATGAAGTACTGGCAATTTATGCAAGAAAATATTCAAGATGCATATTCTTTGATATTAATAATATTAATCACCGATATTACTTATATTGATTTCTATCCTGTAACTTATTTTTGGATTCATCTTATTTGTCTTCAGGTATTCGTAGCATTGGTATCCGCCTCAGATATACCTGTTTCCCCTCTTTGTTACTGCAGACAGGCAGGAAAGAGCATGCACTCTCAAAATAATGGGTCAAATAACCTGAAATGCCAAATCAGTAAATTGAGTCTAGCTAAGTTATAACTTGAGCAGCAGCACAGTCTGAACCTCAAGGTCAGGATGGGTTGTGCTGTCCCCAAAAGATAGGTTTATTTCCTGGAGGTTTGGATCTTAAACTGGATTTGATGCTACAACTGGATCTAAAAGTGCAAGAAGGTCCATTTCCTGTGCTGGTTCCACGTCCCTGCTCATGAAGGGCTGTCTCTAAGCAGGGCTTTGTCTGTGGACAGTGCTGCTACTGCTTCCTTTCCTGACATCTGACCTTTTATAGGCTGCCCAGCAGATGTTCCCCAGACACTGCTGGATGAGAGCACATGGGTGGAAGAGGCTGTTTCTTTTCTGTATGTTGGTTGTTCTCAGTAAATAACAAGTTTGAACTGGTCACTTCGATATTCGAGTCAATACCTAATCTTCCCTAGCCTGTGAAAGAGGCATGCTAGGTCACTTGCAGTTCTTTCAGTTCTTTTTGAAGTGTCAAAAAGATGGTATAAGAAGTGGTGTTGAACAGTTTTCAAGCACTAATAAATAAAAGATGTGCCAGTGCTACAGCTCTGACCGTTGTTCTACAGCTGGTTGTATGTATGCTAAAATGAGTGTAATTTCTATTGAAGTTTCACTACTTCACATTTTAACAGAACGCAATGCTAGCAAAAGCAACAAGACTTCTCATTATTATATTCTGTGTTCATACCTCAAATCCCTGTGGTCTTCCTAGACTTTCTTTAATATGTTTCCACGCAACAAGAATCTCTGATACAGACAAACTCGTAGCTTTGACATCAATAGGAGCAGCAGTGGGTTCTGTATTAAGAAAAATTGAAACAATAAACCTCCACTGTAACAACTTGTATTTATCAAAAACACTCCATCTGAAACTGTCATTTACTTCCTTTATTCTACCTTAATACTCACAAGAAGGTATGACACTTATAGGGAACATGAAAAACTGAAAAAGATGAAGAGATTATTATTGTTGTACTCCTTTATTTGTGTCATGATATATCAATATCTTATCACTGATGATGGGCACAGCAAACTGTGACAGAATCTCTTATAAATTTTTTTTTTAAGATCTTTTATATTAGTAAATGACTCTCCCTCCCTCTCCCTCCTTCCCCCCACCCCACATACACCTTTCATACCCCTTGATCATCTTAACTTCAGAAGTAAATGGAGCGTTCATTCTCTTCCTGGCTTTTTAGTGCCTTTTTGTCAGCTCAGAATGAATGATACCTAACTAGGGTGCTCAGTCAATCCTGCTCTGGGGCTATATCAAGAAAGAAGCAATACCCAGAGCTGCAGTGAAATGTTAAGTAAAAGATCTTTTAAAAGCTGTGTTATCATGTCCTTGAAGTCACAAGCACCATTGTTTGGGGCATTACTCTCAGCGGTGAAGCAATTACAATTTAGACCTAAGATGCATGCTTTTCTAAAGAAGGTGTTAAGACCTAGATATGTACCTCTCATTACCTGTATTGTTACTGCTGGTCCTATGACTGTATTTATATCTCATCGGGCACTCTGCAGTCCTAGTCTCCTGATGGAGACCAGACCAGAGGACCTATAGCCCAGGGCTGCCCTCCCACTGAGGTGGGCATCCTTGGATGCAGCTGGGGAATGGCCAGGGTGCACAGGGTTAGGGCTGCCCAATAGTGTTGCCACAGGCATGTTTTAATTTGTATTTTGATATCAGTGAACCTTTCTATATCAGTGAAGATATAGAGGTCCAACTTCCTTCAATGATTGGAAAGTTACTAGGGAAAATGTAGAGAGGATATGGCAAGGTAGGTCGTTGGACCATAGCATAAATATATATCCGCATTTAGTGCACTGGGAATGGAGGATCCAAAAAATGCCACATATCAAACCAAGACCTGAGTGAAGAAAATATTTTGGATTCTCCACTTTATTGCCTAAATATTACTGAAAAATTGCTTAAGATAAGATGTAGAGACAAAGCTTGAACACAGACAGCAAAGCGCACAGTAACTTCATTTATCTAGCTACACCATTCTGGTGTAGCTTACTTGCTCAGCAAAAAGATGGATTCACTTTCTCCTGCAGTAGCAGAGCCTGCAATTTATTCCTTGGCCTAATGTTTCTCGTTATATTTCTAATGCATTAATCTACTCTTGAAGGGCAGGCAGAGGTCCTGGCTTTTTTGTTATGGGGAGGCACATCAAAGAACTTTCAAAAAATGTTTTTTGGGGGTTCATTTAACAGTGTTACAGGAAAGGAATTTCCTTATGGAACAGCCTGAGTTAAAATTACACACTTTTCCAGTGATCAAACTGCTTTACTAAGATGTCTAATATCAGTTTTGACTCATTAGCTACCCTCTTTTCTCTGATCACGTTGCAGGGGTTGTCCTGCCATTGCTGCCCTATACCTTTTCTCTGACATGGCTTGTACAGATTTTTCATCTTTTTTGATGTCAGATTTTTAATGTTTGCAGCTCTTTTTCATCTCCTTCTTTATTTACATTTAGAGAAAAGAAGCATTTCTTCTGTGATGCAAAATGGTATTCTCCAACAATGAGAATTACTAATTTACATGGAACTTTTCAGGTAAAAAAAAAGAATAATAGTAATAACAAAAAAACAATCAAAAAATAATAAGTAAAATGATCCTCTGAATTCAATACTGAAAGAATTGTGCTATGAAGAAGTATATTCCTCATAATATGATTTTCTGTTCCTCAGTTACGCCCTGCATTCTATTTTATGTACTACTAAGATTTGTGTGGCAAAAGCTATTTTCTAGCTTTTGTATTATTGAAGCAATTACCTTGTTGTCAGAAAAGATTGCAGTGGGATAAATAATTTGTGATGTACACAAAATGTTGGTTGGCAGCTTTTACATTTTCTGTAAATGTAGAAACCATTTCCTCTTCATAACTTCATAACTTCATTTCCTCTTCATAAACCACTAGGGGTGGTTTATGTATTGTTTAGAATAGAAACACAGGGCATTTCCTGATATTTTTTGAAATTGTTTTCGACAAATGGAGTAGAAATAGTTTTGTTTGTTTGTTTGTTTTTGTTTTTAATGTGAAGAAAATGTATTTCTTACATATCCAGAAATTATTCACTATATTCTTACATTTGTGAATAAGTTATTATGACTGTCTGAAAGTTTATGGAGATGAAATAACGTTTTTTTATGGATTCAGATAGGATGAGGACCATATAATTTCTGGTGATGTGATACATTCTGTGGTTCAGTCCAATGTCATGCTTTATTCTGTGTGTCTAAAACTAATGATAAGTTTGAGAGGTTCATTAGGTTTTCCATAATGGTCACTGATGTTGTAATCATATTCTGTTCTTAATATGTTGTCATCATGCTAAATCTATTTGTTAATCTATTGGTATCTTCCTGAGATCATGTTGATAGAAACAAAAAAAAAAAAAAAAAAAAAAAGCAAACATCTTTAATGGTCCTTGTAATACTTCCTAGTTAAATTAAAGATGCAATGTGGTAACTTCTCAGAAGGCTGTGTGAAGTATCCACGAAACATTGTCTTTCCGTGTGCCATAGTCATACTGTAAAGAAACATGTTCAATCTGCAGGGCTTTGGGATGACCATAATAAAGCAGAACAAAGAATTACACTGATTGCAAAGATCTGACATTCAAAGAAGGAATCCTGAATTTTGATACTGGCAGATAGGAGAAAAAGAATTAGTTACCAGCTGTCCTTTTGTTTTCTCTGTTTCCCACCAGAAACTGGTCTATTTTTTTCTGAAATATTCATCCTTAAATATTTTCATGTGATCTAACTTAAACAAGTCCAAGGAACTCTTTATTAAATGTAATTACAGTTAATTCTGTTTTAAACCTTTTATGGAATAAAGCCTCTGTTGGACTCCTTGTCCAATCACATAATATATATTTGCTTTTCATTTTGACTCCAAGAAAGATTTTTACACACTTCCCTAAATTCAGAATCTGAGCTCTCATTTTAAGCTACGAGCGCTGGCCTGTGTAATTGCATTATTAGCCCAGGCAGTTCCACATAGTTAAGGCTTTAAGTCTTCCAAGGATCTGTGACTGAGTTGATTCCCTTCTGTGGAAAAATAGAACAAAACAACAACAAAACACCACAAAAGAGATCTATCAAAAGGAAAATGACAAGGAAGAGGCCCTCTTGTGTTATCCTGTAGGTAAAGAAAGAGGAATTATTTGCTATCTTGCTTGAAACAGCCACAGGATCTTCCAAATCAAGGCATCTCCAATTTTCATTCCTGAGAAAAGCTAAGAGATGTTATGCTCAGCTCCACCCCTCATATTGATGGATGTGTTTCCATGTCTGGGGGACTCCACCAGATCTATGATGGCATGGTTGCCTGCAGGGTAACACTGCATCCAGCATCTTGTGCTACAAAGGGAAAAAGATGTCATCAGAAGAGGAAACACAAGCCCAAGCTGTTTAAACTTGAGTTTAAACAGCTGATTTCCAGAACACCAAAAATCAAATGAACTAATCATTCCATGGACAGACCCCTGGACTTCTCACTTTTTCTCATGTCCTTTCTGTGTCCAGCTTCTCTCTGACCAATGTATTTGCAGAAGACTTTAAAGGAGGGACAAACCACAAGGCCCAGGAAATGAGCTAGCAATGAAGCAGTGATCAGGCCTGCAGTGCTGAGCTCTGTCCAGGCCCTCCTTTGTTTACTAGTGTAGAAGTATTCCTACTTGTCAGGCAAAGCTTCTGAAACCCATTCCTTCAAGGCTTTCCTTTCTCCATGATAAAGCCTGGCTTTATCATGCAGTAGAATGTCCACAGCCCATAAAGAAGGGATATACCTATAGCATTACTTGTACATCTAACTTCTCAAGGGAGCCAGTGGCATTAAACTAATGAATGCTTAATAAACTCTTACATATCAGGGTTTGACTTCATTCTTTAAAAAATCAGTGAAGACAACTCTAGCTGAATTTTTAGAGGATCTAATCCAGATGGATCAGGTGGCAGAAGCAGGAAATAATCCACTGTAGTTTACAGCTAATATGACAATTTATTAATATTCAGGTTCACCTAAACTCCAAGGAGCTCAGCTTTAACTGTGAAATGATCTACAGGACTTTGGTTCATGAGTGTAAGATTTTAATCAGAGAAGTGGAGTATTTAAAAAAGTGTAATTACATATTCTTTCTTCTAAATGAAAAGGAAAGGGTAATTTATTTATGTATTTAAATAAGGGATTAGTATGAATAGCAAAGGGAGTTGGACCTAACAAGAACAATCCTTCAGTCTGCAATGTCTTGTTCAACGTCATATCAACCACTATCTGGCCTGATGCAAAACTCATTCAAGTTATGAAGGAACAAAACTGCAAGGGCTGTTATATGGCCATTTGTCTTTCAGATAACTGAGAAGATTGGTTCTCTATTGGCTTAGTGAATTAGTGCAAATCCGTACAAAGCAAGAACAAAACTTTGTGCAGTATCATTGCATCTTGTATGTATTACAGAAGTGCATCTGGGGTCCCTCAGGAGGTTTTTAGAAAGCACAGCAAGACTCAGAGTCTTCAGGCTTTATCTGGTACTGCTCAGGTCTCTCTTTTTCATATCTAGAAGTTTTTAGTAATATTCACTATTTATCGAAATTATAAAACTTTAATTTTTATGAAGATAATTTCTGATGGAGAAAGGTACTGAAACTAAGTGAATGAATTATGTGTCTCCCGATGTGGCAACCATGTTAAAAACACCTTTATAGAAGACCTAATTCATCCTGAAACCAGTTGTGTTCCCTCTTTCTCCCAGAAACCTATTTCTATGTACTTGTATATTTTC